AACTGATGGACTACAAATTGAAACCTTTCCACAAACTAATGCAGCACTGGAGGCACTCACTCATCTATGCCAAGAAATCTGGAAGATAACTAACTGGCCAACCGATTGGAAGAGATCCGTATTTGTGTCCATTCCAAAATAGAATGTGGAAATCAGACATTATTATTACTATCACATGCAAGTAACATTTTGCTAAAGATAACCCCATAACAACTGCAACAGTACACTTGACAGGCAGAGGTTCAAGCCGGAGTCAGACAAGGATGTGGAATGAGGGCTCTCATTGCTGACGTCAGATGATCTTAGTGGAAAGCAGAGAAAACCAGAAAGACGTTTCCTGTGCTTTACTGACCAGGCAAAAGGCTTTCGACTGTGTGGATCGTGACACTACGGACAACACTGTGGAGAATGAGTATTCCAGAACACTTAATTGTGCTCATGAGGAACCTGCATATAGAACAAGAGGCAGTCACTGGAACAGAACAAGGGGACAATGAATGGTTTAAAAGTAGAAAAGGTGTGCACCCAGGTTGTATATTCATCATACTTATTCAATCTGTATTCTGAGCAGATAGTCTGAGAAGCTAGATTATATACAGAAGAGCATGGCATCAGGATTGGAGGAAGATTCATTAACAACCTGCGATACGCAAATAATACAATCCTGCTTGCTGAAAGCGAAGAGGACTTGAAACTGATTAAAAAAAAAAAAAAAAGATCAAAGATAAAGCCTTCAATAAGGGTTGCACCTCAATGTAAAGAAAACAACATCGTGATAAATCAAGAAAAGATTTCACTTTGCTTGGATCCACTATCAACACTCAGGGAAGCAGCAGTCAAGAAATCAAACAATGTATTGCATTAGGCAAACCTGCTGCACAAGACCTATTTAATGTGAATAAAGATGTCAGTTTGAAGACTAAGCCTTGCCTGACCCAAGCCGTGGTATTTTCATGTATTTCATAATATGCACGTGAAAATTGGACAGGAATAAGGAAGAATGTAGAAGACTTGATATGCCTTTGTGAACTTGACCTATACATATTTACGGATGTAGTAGCTTAAAATACCAACCGAAAGGGAAGGAGTCTTCACATCAAGGATCAATCCTATCTCCACGGTATACAGGGTTGATAGGGATGGGTAACTTGGAGGAGAGGGGGGGTATAAAGGAAGGCACAAAGTGACAGGCTTACAAGTTTTCAAGAGGGAGTTTAGTTTCAGAGTCTGCTGGGGGAAGGTAGAGTCCCCACTGAAGAGTTTTCATCTTGTCTATCTAGACAGATCTGGTGAGAGGAGATGGGGATAAGATTCTTATGATTCAATGGTGAGTAACTGTTATCATGACTAACTGTGACTGTCACAACTGTAAAGGCAGAAGTTTTGCAACATAAAAGGGAGGAGCAGTTCATCTTACAAGGAGCTCTAGTAACTTAGTGGTTACGAATCGGGATGCTAATCTCAAAGTCAGCAATTCGCAACTACCTGCGGTTCCACCAAAGAAAGATGAGGCTTTCTGCTCCCATAAAGATGTACAGCTTCAGAAGCCCTATGCAGGGTAGCTATGAATCAGAACTGACTCCATGGCACATCACCATCAACCACCACCACCAGTTAATCTTACAGTCCAGGAACATAGGACCCTAGGACCGTCAAGGGAGAAGAGCAAGAGCGGAATGTGGGACCCTAACCAGAGAAGCAGTGACACCAGAGATGGAGGCAGAGATGTTGACATGGAGAGAGAGAGCAGCTGAAGACTCTAGACTCATGGAAAGAGAGAGGCTGTGTGTTGGCGGCCAGGAGGCAGGCTTGCAGAACGTACCCTTTGGTTGTTTAAATGATTATATATTTGTGAGGAGTGTTTTTGTATACATCCAAAAACAAAAAAACAGAGGGAATAGAAGTAAATACTGCTATATGATGATGCATGAAGGGGATTGTAATCATTGCAATGAAACAAAATACGATAGGATGAGTGCAAAACTCATGTTCTCCCATGTAAACTATTACTCAATTCACAAGAAAAGCTTTTAAAAGAAAACTGATGCATTTGAATTATGCTGTTGAAGAAGAAAAGTACCATGGACTGCTACAAGAGCAAACTAATCTGTTTTACAAGAAGTACAATCAGTATGTTCCTTGGAGGCCAGGATGGCCAGACTTCATCTCTCATACTTGGGACATAGTATCAGGAGGGACCAATCCCTGGAGAACAACATCCTGGAGAAGGAAGGTCAGCAAAAAAGAGGAAGACCCCAACGAGGTGGACTGGCACACTGGAAGCAGCAATGGGCTCAAACTTCACCAAGACTATGAAGACGGCACAAGACCAGGCAGTGCTTCACTCTGTTGGTCACAAGGCCGCTATGAGTGGCAACCAACTTGCCAGCACCTAACAACACCTTCGGTAAAATACTGAATGACACAGAAAACATCAAATGATGAAAGACATACACAGAGTCACTGTAAAAAAAGAATTGTCAGTGTCCAAACGTTTCAAGAGGTACCATATCATCAAGGCATTGGTGAGAAACCAGGCTCCAAAAAATGTCTGGACTACAAACTGGAATGTCTGTCTGGACTACAAACTGAAATGTATCAACAAATTGCTGCAGCACTAGAGACGCCTACTCGTCGATGCCAAGCAATTTGTAAGACAGGTAACCAAGAGATCTGTACTTATGCCCATTACAAAGAAAGTGACCCAACGGACTGTGGCAATCATTGCACAGCATCATTAATATCATATCTAAGTATAATTTTCCTAAAGATAATTCCAAAATGGCTGCAGCTGCCAGAAATTCAAGGAAGATTCAGAAGAGGATGTGGGATGAGGGCTATCATTGCTGACGTCATTTTTTCGGTTTTAAATAATTGAAAACAAATGAATAATGTTTCACAACATGTAAAAATAATTAGAAGTGATCATTTCTTTATGCATCAACAAAGTTTTATTGGCACATAGCCCTGCCCACTTGTTGATATTTTGTCTATAGGTTGTCACAGAAACCACATGGCCAGGGCCCTGCAAGCCTCAGAGAGTTACTATCTAACTTAGCACAGAACATATTTGCCACCCATTGTTCCAAACTATTGTTAGACTCTGGGTGCCACATTTGAGTACCATGCTCAGCCCCTAACTAAGAAGTGGGCAATCTGAATCTGCCCAGAGGTTCATCGGAAGAAGTCTGGTGAATGTCTTAAAAACAAACCAATCAGCCCCTGCAATCCCATGGAGCACAGTTCTGCTCTGAGCCACATGGCAGCACCAGGACCCAACCTAGAGCCAAGGGCGCCAGGTTTGTTTGCTTTGGGTCTGAGCCGAGGAGAACTAGGTGTCTTCAATCAAGTGATGGCCACGCAGAGGACAATCAGAAGACCCAAAGAAAAAGGGGTCATCAGAGGCAATGTTCCCTCTCACTCCCCGACTTCACACACAAACACATTCACACACACACAAAGGCATCTTGGTGTCATGGTGGCTTATGATTGGGCTGCTAACCGCAAGATGAGCAGTTCGAATCTCAGTCACTCTGCATGAGCAAGATGAGGTTTTCTGCTTCTGTGAAGATGTACAGCCTTGGAAACTGCATTCAGAGGCACGATGAGTTAGTACTGACTACATGGCACACAACACCAAACACTAGCACACACACAGATCCACAGCCAGGACACACTCATCCACACACAAACAGTCACACACACACACAGATCCATACCCAGGACACAATCATACACACACACAAACACGGTCACACACGCACACAGATCCATACCCAGGGACACAAAAACACACACACACGAACACGGTCACACACACACACAGAGATCCACACCCAGGGCACACTCATATATATACACACAAACAGTCACACACAGATCCACACCCAGGGACACACTCATACACACACACACACACACAGTCACACACACAGATCCATACCCGGGGGCACAAAAACACACACAAAGACATGTTCACATACACAGAGATCCATACCAAAAGACTTACACATACACACACGCACACGTTCACACACACACAGATCCATACCTAGATACACACACAAACACACGTTTACATGCACCCAGATTCACACTCAGAGACGCTCAGACACACACACACACACACACACACACACACATCCAGGCTCTCGATCCTAAAGCCCTATCCGTTTGTGATAAAGTCCATTTGTGACCCTAGCCATATAGGGTGTCTCCCAGCAATGCCCTCTGTGACGTGTGTAGAAGCACACACAGGTAGATGGAGACTGAGGCCTCCGGGAGCAGCCTGAGGAACCCAGGAGAGCAGCCCAGCAAGTGGACGCCTCTTGGCCCCAGCAGCTCCACAGACACTAGCACCATGCCCTCCACCTTCAGGGACACAGAGCAAAATGGCACATGACCTCAACACCTCACACCATGGAAGAGACATGGAAGAAACCTGTCACGTGGCTGCTTCTTGGAAGAGGAGCTGGGTGGCTGGCTACTGAGGAGGGAGATGCTCCTGTCCCCCTCAACCCTGCCACCTGTTTGAACTCAGCTCACCTGTGCCCTACTGTCACCAAAGCCAAAAACTGTTTTAAGATGGGTGTCACATTACAGGAGAAGCACCAGATTGCTAACCACAAGGCTGGCAGTTCAAATCCACCAGTTGCTTTTGGAAACCCTATACAAGGTTGCTATGAGTTGGGACTGACACGATGGCACTTAACACCACCACCACCAACAAAGCAGAAAGGAAGGGGTCCCCAGCAATCATGGCTCCCCCATGAGGCCTGCTCCTCCTCCCCACATGCCCCAGTGGTCTGCATCTCGGGGCTCATTTCTGAGTTCTACCCGCTGCAGCCACACCTGGATCAAGCACTGAGCTCGTGCACGTTTACTGAACAACTGAGGTTGGCATGGCTTCAGGCCACCCAGAGAGACATGAGGCTCACACACAGCCAGCCTTGGGAAGCAGGTGGGGATGAAGGGGTGGCAGGCACAGGGTCCTCACCCACCTTGGCCAGGCCCGCGCGGTGGGCGCCCTGGGACTCAATGTAGGCCACGTATTTGTTGAAGTCTTTGAACTCCTCCATGGTCGGGCGGAACGTCATGATCTTGCAGCTCGGGTTCTGGGCCCCATGGTCCTCGGACCCCATGGCTGCTGCAGCAGGGGCACCACCTGTGGGAAAACACAGGGGAGAGGGTCAGGGGAGCGTCTCTACTCCCCACATGCGCACAGAAGACCAGGAGGCTGTCAGCTCTAGGGGCAGTACACTGACTCCACTTAAGTCCTGAGCGGGGACTCGCCCACCTGCTGCCATCGGCTTCCCCTCACCATACCCACTTGGCAGTGAGGTGACAGCACTGACATGTGTGTCTGGTCACAGTGCCAGCTCAGTGAGCAGGGCCAGGTCAGCTATTAGCCAAGCTGGACTTTTCTGCAGGGCGTCGGTGACACAACTGAAAACCCATGGAGCCTAGCTCGACTGTGACACGCACGGAGGCCATGAGTCATGGTTGAGTTTGGGTCTGGACTTCTGGACCTTGAGTGGGTAGCAAGTGAAAAGTGGGCTTTGGGGTCAAGTTATACTATCCAGAGCTGGCTCTCCTGGGGTGTCGGGGGCCTCGTTGGTCAGTGCAAGGTAACACATACATTCTCTTGGATTTCCGAAGTGGCCAGAATACAGTGCACACTGACAGGAGAGCGCAGAAGGAAACAACAAATCCTTCTCGCCTGCCTGTCTTCCCACCACCCACAATAACCGAGAACTTGGTATGGCACTGTAAAGTAAGCACTGGACCGAAAGGTCGGTTCAAACTTGCCAGATGCTCCTCAGAAACTCTATGCAAGATCACTATGAGTTGGAACCGACACAAGGGCACCTAACAACAGAAGGCAGGAAAGCCACCCATTTTGGAAAGAGTGAGTTCTCCAGTTCACCAGGTGCACTTCTCCCAGTGAGCACTAGAGGGCAGCATTGCCCAGCAAGTGGCGCCCAGACAATCCCATGCCTGCAGAAAACTGTCTGATGTGAGTTTAAGGGGGGAGGGTAGAGACCGTGGTCAGTACCCCTGGTGAGAAAGGTGAGGAACTGGGGCGGAGGAAAGAGAATAAATGCGTTCCCATCATCTGGATTTAGCTCTACACCACCTTGGCTTTCCAAGGCTTTCAGAAGCCTTTTAGAAACAGATCACCAGGCCTTTCTTCCGTAGGTCCGGATGGCCAATTCTTCACCTAATAGCACACTTAACTGTCTGAGTCACAGTCTGGCTGCTGTGTGGACATGGCTCCACCCAGGACACAGGCTAAGGACTCGTATGGACACAGTGTGCTTCAGTGGGTGAATCTTCCACGTGGGAGACCTGGGTTCGAGTCCCAGCCCATACATCTCTCACACCTCCTGTCAGTGGAGGTTTACATGTCACTAGAATGCTGAACAGTTTTTAGCAGAGTTTTCCATTAGGATTGTCTAGGAGGAACGGCCTGGCAATTGACTTCCAAACACCCTATTCGTTACAAAGGTCTGAACCCCAACCAATCACGGCAGGGATGGTCGCCTTGAGCTGGGAGCAGACTTGACAGCCACTGACAACAGCAGGTAAAACTGTAGAGCAGCATCGCTCTCCCTCCCCAGCTCCGGGCAGAACGTGGGGTTTCCCGCAGAGGCACAGACACCAATCTGGGCTGGGGGCTAAGGCCACCGTACAGGTCACAGCTCATTGGCTTGCCTTCACACTCTGCACCGAGATCAGAATCGCTCCTGCTCTGAGGGACCACTATGAAGCTTCCTCAAGAAGCTCAACACAAAACTATCCCAGTCCCCAGCAAATGGAAAGTAGGGACCCGAGCAGCTCTGTGTCTGTCCACGGTCCCTGCAGCTGTGGTCCCTCCAGGCCCACCGACTGTTCCCAGCTGCCGCCTCCCCACATCCAGAAGGCTCACCAGCCAGACCCCTGCCCTAGACGGAAGTCTCCGGAACTGACAAGGAAGAGTCATCAAGAGGAGGGTGCTAAGGCCTGGGAGCTACTGGAGAGGGAGGTGTACAATGCCCCTCACTTCCAGGTGGCAACACTAGGCTGAGCACGTGTCTGTCTGTCTGCCTGAGAACTGGAATTCAGAAACGCAAAGGCTGGTCTGGGAACACCCTTCAGGGTCTGCTGCACGACGGTGCGCAGGGTTTACAGGGTTGCTGGTAGAATTTTCCAGAAACAGAGGAGCAAAATCTGCAGCACATCCCTTGGGTGGATGTAAATTTACCAGTAGAAACACTCATGCAGGACGGATACACCTTGCTCTAGAAAGTGATGAGGGCTGTAGGACCACCCCCTGGGGGCCCGGGTCCCACCAGCCCTGAAAGTCACCTCTCCCTCTCAGCCTCCACTCTGGCCCCACCCACCCTGCTCTCTGTCCCCAGGAGGGTCAGCCATTGGGTGTCAGCTGCCACCTATTCCCATCGCAGCCCTGGCCCCACAGGAACCGTGACAGAGGCAGGAGGTGGGGACAGAACCCAAAGGAGATGCTTATCCTCCGTCAGGCTTCGAGCCAAACTCCACAGAGGCGGCATCCGGCTCCTGGAGTCTCATCCCCCGAGATGGAGACAGGAGCACATAGGGCTCCCCTGCATTTGATCTGATCTTGACAAAAGGTCTTTACCAGACAGAGAAAATCTGCCTTCTGCGGACAGACGCACACTCTGGAAGCAGCGTTCTCTGCTTCATCTACTCATGGGAACCCATGATGTGCCAGGCCTGCCCCCAACCCACCCCGAGGCAGTGACAAAGCCCCTGGCCTCACACGCACAGTGTGAGCACCTGCTGCCCAAATGTCAGCACCAGTCCTGGCCTCAGAGACGCCTTGGCCCAGTCTGTTTTCCGGACCATAGTGACAAATCAAGGGCTGGCGAGAGGGGTCAAGTCCCCACCTTCTGTACCTGCTGGCCTTTGTGGCTCTTCTTGCTTCTGCATGTTAGCCTTTCCAAGTGGCAGGAGAGAACAGTGGAGGAATGAGCTTGGGGCACAGAGGGCCGGCCACAAGGGCAGGGCAGTCAAGCGGCTGGACCAAGAGCAACCCGAGGGGACACACCATGCCATCGGCATCTCAGGGTGGGATGGCCAAGCAGGATGCCAGGGCCACACCAGCTGGGCCCCGCCATCTGTGGTGATGAGAGGCACAGAGCCGAAGCAGAAGCTCCGGCAGCTAAGTCTGGACGGAACAACTTGGCACCCAAGTCCAAGACAAGGGAGGCAGGTGGGACGCAGAGCAGCACAGGAGAGTCTTTAGGGCAAAGAGGGGGCACTGCACACCAGGCTGATGACCGCTCACAGTTACTTAAAGACTACAGAGGACAGAAAGGAAAACTCACCCGTCGGCCTGGGCGCTCATTTCCTGCAGGCGCCCTAACCAACGGCTGTGTTAGGTGGATTTTTAAAAGAGCACACGTGTATTCTCGTACTGTTCAGGAGTCTGACAGGCCTCACCGGGCCACACTGAGCTATGGCCAGGCTGGCTCCTTCCTGAGGCTCCAGGGAGACTGTCTTCAGACCGCGCCAGCTTGGCCACCTGTACTCTGTGGCTTGTGGTCCTTCTTCCATCTTCACAGCAGCATGGGGGCGTCTTCCAGCCCCTTCTCTGTTGGCTTCTGTCCTCATATCTCCTGCCTCCCACTTCTGCGGACCCGGTGATCACACCAGGCTGATCCAGGGTAATCCTCCCAGCTCAAGATCTTTCACTTAACCCTGTCCACAAGTCCCTCTTGTACACAAGACATCAGTTTCACAGGTTCCAGGGGTTGGGGTGCAGACATCCTGGGGGCCCATCATTCATTCTACCACAATTGACCACACAGAAAATACATAATGCCAAGGAACAAGCAGAAATGGTCATGTCCCCCCAGCTCCTCTGCAGAGGACTACTGCTGGGTGTGTCTCGAGAGAGGAACACATCCACATGGACCACTCTGACAAAAGCAGTTTCTTAAAAGTCAGAGACGGGACCCAGCAGCGTCACAGGGGGTCGATACTCATCTCGGGGCCTGGCCCCTTCCCCCAGTCACCCAGCACTAACTCCAGTGGTGGCACAACACCTGGGAACCCCAGCACAGCAGTACATGTACCCAGCCGAGGAGGTCTCTTAATGCTGAAGGAATGAGTCACGTGGGTCAAACCCCGACAAAGCTCTACTCTTTGGCATTGTCTATATACAGGGGTGCCCTGGGATTCCTGGATGTGTTCAAGAGTGTCAAAGAGAGGTCCTAGGAGCTCGTCCGGCACTGGTCACACCAAGTTTTGGTCAGGGAAGTAACAAGCGGTGCCCAGGGCCTTCCAGAAGTTAGTGGGTCCCACTGTCCATGTTTGAAATGCTGCTGATGGGCAGGCCATGAGCCTCACTGGGCTGAGACTGTATAAAGGTCTCATGGGAGAGCTGCCCAGCTAGCCTTTGGAACTGCACACCCGACACGAGGCTGTGTCCAGAGCAGCTCCCACCAAGTCGTCCATGTAGCCCCCACCATTGAGTTAACCTAAACTAGCCTCCAAAAAACAGTCAGCTTTGTAGGACAAACGATCTCTGCGCAGCTACTCACCTCTGCCAGCGCAGCCAAGTAACGGGTCAAGCAAAAAGCATGGTTGTGCACCAATAAAACTTTATTTACAAACACAGACAAAGGGCCAGACACTTGACCGATGGCCCAGTGTCCCAGGTCCCAAGAGATACATGCTGCCCAACCCTTGAAGCCACAGAACCTTTCCTTCATCCCCTCCACAGAGGATGGTGAGCTGTGCTCCTGCCTACTTCTCTGTCTTCCTAAAGCACGGAAGAACAGAAAAGGCAACCGGAAGGATGTAAAAGGCCCACATTCTAGTCCACACTGAGCCCTGAGGAGCTTCAGGGCCTTGTGCAGGGCGTTCATCCCACGAGGGCAGGACTGGGGAGTGACACTGAACACAGGTGGCCTTTCCTGGATGGCAGAGGGTCACCTGGATCAGCCAGCACAGTCCCCTCAGGGAGCCTACCCCAACATCCCTCCTGCCCTGTGAGCATGGCCCGGGACATCGTTCCATTGTCCCCTCCTTTCTTATGACTGGTCACCTTGGGTCACTGCTTTAAAATCCTATCCTTGGTTCGTTAGGAAACTATACAGCAGAAGATAGAAGGGTCCTA